GGGCTCCCTGAGGGGGCGGTCCGAGCTCTCTGAGGGGCGGTCGGAGCTCCCTGAGGGGCGATCGGGGCTCCCTGAGGGGGGATCGGGGCTCCCTGAGGGGGCGATCGGGGCTCCCTGAGGGTGGCGAGGAGATGCTGGAGCTGGTTTGCTTCTCGTGTAAGGGATGCAGCCAGTTTAGGAAATGGAGGGGTGGGTAAGAATGGTGTCATTAACACAGGTGGCASCTAAGGAAAGCTTTGGGGAACCTGCATGACTCAGACAATTGTTTGGGAGACCATATAGAAACCCAACTGCTTTAGGAAAAAAAAAAAATTAAAAAAAAAATGCACAAATGGTATATCATAGGAACAAGGAACTGGCCAGCTGTTCCAATGCTTGGTGGAGCAGCAGGAAGAAAACCGAGCTCAAGTAAACCCTAGAGATGTAAATAATGACAAAGGAGCTATGRTTASTCCCAACCCTCATTCCCCACTGGCRGGATGGCTGGAGTTCAGCTTGTCCAGGCTCGGCTCACAGGGACAGACCTGGGAAACAGCATGAAGCAAAGCTCCAGGCTGTGATCTCTGGGAGGAAAACAACACTAGAAACTCACTTTCTCTCCCTGCATGGAGTGTGACTGCAGAGCGAGAGAATGCTGAGAACTTGTTCTGCTTTTAGAAGAGGAATGAAGTAAAACAAATATTTTTTTAATAGAAATTTAATATCCTTTTTTGGGGCTTTGTAATCAAAGCATCTTTCTAAGCTATGCACGCATGCACAGTAATCTTCCACTAATCCTGYTCGCCTCAGGCACACAGGATGCTACAGAAATAACAAGGCAGTGCATACTACAGAAGAAACTTCTAATTTGTTTTTGTCTAGCTCAGCTTAAGGCCAAGCCCCAATTGCAATGGACCATCACGTGAAAAATGTAACAGAGCTCAAATGGAAAATAGTCCYACAGCCACGTGTATTGATCAAATACCAGATGGCATGAATGGGGTAACTCTGGGATGGCATTGGGAATGGAAGTCAACTTCCAGATTCTTTTTCCAAGACAAGAAATCATTTAAATTTGTGAAATACAGGGRAACAGCAAGAAAGCCAGAGTTTTGTGGGGGCCAGGGCCCAGTTATGGTCACTGCTAGGAACATTGCAACCATATTTCCTCTACAATTTCCTCTAGAATTTCCACTACAACTCTTGCCCCATCACTCATAACTTTGTAGTAATTTTCTAATCAGAAACGTTCCTATTTTAAAAAATAAATTTATAACATTTTTCTCTTAGTGTTCCTTCAGATGAAATGCACACAGGTAAAAATTTGAAATTAGGAGCAGCAGTGATCCATATCATCATATGCTTTTATGTAATTTGGGTTTGATTCACCACTCATGGGTGTATGAAATTTGAGCTTGCAGCCAGGAATATCTGCTGCTGGTTGGTGTAGCTCATGCCTCCATTGGTGAAGATCCTTTTCTTTCCCTTTCAGGGACACATGAATTCCTTTAGTCTTCAGGAATGCACACAGGTGTGCCTTGTTCCTCTGTGCTGATGTCAAACCCCTGGTGTCCTAGTGGGGTGTGAGGGATCTTTTAGAGGCCAACTYTGAGTTTATTTTATTGTGACTAACAGAATAAGATCCATCATAGTTTGGAATGGAGCCACAGCCTGAAACTGAAATTGCTTCCCAGTAAGTGATTTTCTGCAGTTAGTGAATTGAGGGAAGAGTTCCCTTCCCATACTCCCAGACCTGCTGTCTTGGCAATATTAATAAAATAGATCCCGACCAAGGAGAGGTGGCAGGATGCCAGGACAATGCACGAAAACTATCTTTCCTGGAGAGAGTCATCCAGTATGTTGTCAGCAGGAGCTGTGCCTCAGCAGCCTGCCAGGGACTCCTCTGTTTGAGCCCTGCAGCAGCACAGTGAGCTGCCAGACAGTGTGCGCCAACAAAACAAAGCCACGTGCCTGCAGCCATCAGGGACACCAGGGGCTGGCTCTGGGCCATGAGGTGCATGAGCCACTGCCACAGTGTCCCCTCAGCAGGCACAGCTCCTCTGCAGCTGTGGAGAACGGCTGCTCTGACCTCAGGCAGGGCAGAGGTGCTGCTGACAGGCCATGCCAGGCACACCAAGCCCTGCCAACTACCACTCTGCCTGCCCAGCTGGAAGGCAGAATTGCTGTACCCAAAGGTACAGGGCTGTACCCAGAGCATGTGCTGGGAACCCTTCTTAAACCTGATCCCTCCAACAGCAAAGCTACCCCTGCTGCTGAGCTTACTGAGCCTTTCCCACTGCAGCATGGTTGAGCCCGGCAGCCAGACAGAGAATGCGCAGTGGCACTGTGGCTAGGACAGCAGGGACAGAGTACGCTGAGCTCCTGTGAATACTGAAGAGTTTGGAGAGAAAATACTGGAGCAAGGCTACTCCYTTGGGCACACTCCCTGGGCCTTCACTCACCCAGATGTCCTGGAGCTGAGCAGCCCTTAAGAGGTTACAGGTGGAGCCTGTTAGGGGCACCTGTGCTCACAGCTGTGACAACTTAGAATCACAGGATTGGTAAGGTTGGAAAAGACCCAGAAGGTCACCAAGTCAACTTTCAGCAAAGCACCACCATTGTTTTCACCACTAAATCATGTCCYCAGGTGTCACATCCACATTTTTTGAACACTTCCAGGGATGGTGATTTTACAGATTCCCTGAGCAGCCTGTGCCAGAGCTTTAYAGCCCTTTCCATGAAAARTTTTCCCTAATATCCAACCAAACCTCCCTTGGCTCAGCCTGKGGCCATTWCCTCTCATGCTATCACTTGTTACCTGGGAGAAGAGACTGACCCCTGCCTGGCTCCAGCCTCCTGTCAGGTAGCTGTAGAGAGTGAGAAGGTCCCCCCCTCCAATGCTCGTCCATTTGGGGTGAGATTAAAATTGTAATGTCAACTATTAAAATATTAATGTGATCTTTTCAAATTCCTTCTGCTTTGTGGGGAGCAATGGCATGTGGAAGGAAGTTTGCTGTGATTCCTCTGAGATGTGAGAGAGTAACTAATTACTGGAGAACATGAGATGCAGTCCTGTTATTCCCTGGAATATCTGTTAAGCCTCAGGACGGTTGTATATAATGGAGCCACTCTTCTACAAAGAAAAGATAAACAGCAAAAGAAAAGACAGCACTGGAGCAACAGCAGCGCTCTCTCCCAGACCTGCTGCTCTGACACAGGAGTGGGCAGTCACTGCATTTGAATCCTGAACTGTCAGACACAAAGTCTCAGCGACTGTGGATTCAAAGCTGCCTGCATTGGCCACAGTCCCTCTGTGCACTTGCAGACATGGCAGTCTGGTGGGAAGCTGTGTCCATGGATAAGGGTTTAAGGCTGTTGTTGTAAGTTCTGTAAATTTATAGAAAAAGGCTCAGGTCTGTGGCCCCATTTCATTCGGTCCCCACACTGCCAGCCACAATTGTTGCATAAGGGGATAGTTTACAGCACCTGGAAATTTTGTTATTTCTCAAGGTCATGTCCTGCTTCATGGGACACTTTCGCTCCTGCCTCACTCCTGCTGTGATCTCTCCAGTCCTCGGGAGCTGAACTGAATGTCCAGTGCAACAGACAAAGTGATCCACCTTTACCTGCAGTGCTCACAAACACCTACACCATCACCTTTGGAAAATAATTACAGCACAGAGACCGATCCTGTTAGATTAAGACAAATTAAGAATCTAATATATAGGTTTGCTGTCAGGCTCCCAGGGTCAGCGGTCGATACAGTATATTGCGGGGAGGCTATAGGTTACCCCTGCCCCAATATTTTATCATAATAAACCAAATGGGGACAAAACACCCAGCAGCAGCCCATAAATCTATTAGCAGTGAACTGTCAATGTCCCACATACCCGGGTAATTTGTTAATTCAGAGCTGGGGCTCTTTTTTCACTAGACCTTGTAAACTCCTTTTTGAAATATCAATAAACCATCTGCTTTGACTTGTTAATCAAACGACTTTATTCAGTCCAAAGCAATTTTTTCCTAATAAAAACAGAGTATTTATCTCCATGGCTATAAAAGAGGATTGTTTTCAACTGTTCACTTATAGTTAAGAAGCACATTTAGTTTGGATTGATTTCCAATGCTTCGGTCATATCTTGTCACTTCTCATTTCTTACACACAGCATCTCAGTTTAGCTCCTAGCAGGGAAAACACAACCTGCCCCAGTCACTGCTGGAGTGGCACCAGGG